CTGCTGATCCCCTTCCGGGAACGCTTCGAGGAGCTGTTGGCTTTCGTGCCCCACATGCATCGCTTCCTCAGCAGGAAGAGGATCCGCCACCACATCTTTGTGCTCAACCAGGTGGATCATTACAGGTATGGTCCTTTGCCACCCACAGAGCTAAGCTTTGCCCTGTGCCGCCAGGGCACTTTGGGGGCCCAAGGTACCAGGCTTGGAGCAGCCCCTTCCCCAGGGCATTCTGTGTGCTACGGAGGATTCTAGACTTGCTCTGTGACCCTGAGTAACTCACTTTGCACCCATGCCCCAGTTTTCTCAGCTATAAAATGGGAATCACACTCTCCTCCTCTCCTGGGATGGGGGAGTTTGACCTTCAGGGCTTAGTGAGGTCCATTTCTTTTCTCTTTGCTGGGCTGAGCGTGTGGGGACTGGGGAGAGCTGGGCTGCGAGTAGCTGGAATTTCAGATACTCTGAGCCTGGAGGTGTCGTGTTGGGCTCAGTTTGGGGCTATGCGAGTCTCTCTGGAAGAGTCTGTAGAAAGGTAAAGGGCTATTTTCCTTCTCCATCCTCCTTTCCCAGGGCCGGACCTGAGCAGGAGAGGAAAATTTAACTGTAGGCCACTAGACTTTCTTCCCGACTATGAACGCTGTGAGGCTAGAGCTCTGAGAGCCAGGGGAAAGCTGCAAGACACAATATTTGCTAGTGTCCTCAGAACAGCCTTAATGCTCCCCCGTATGCCCACCCATCTGGGTCACCTCTTCCAAGAGCCCACTTTACCTGGATGGTGGTACCAGTGTTTAGCCCCTCCCTGCTGGCCACACCATGTTGGCCTTGCCTGGCCTCCAGGTGGCCCTCCCAACATGCCAGCCCACCAATGCTTTGTCTCTTACATGTCATCTCCTTGCCGAACATCTGTCCAGCCTCCAGCCCACTTTCCCAAAGGGCTTCCCTTAGGACAGGCACTGTCAATGTTAGCCCCTTACTAGCCACAGTGGCCGGGTGCCACTGTTCCCCCTGCATGGGTGTGGTTTCAGTGTTGAGTTGCAGCACCTGGGGCCTGAGATCCCAGCTGTGAAGCCAGGAGAGACTGCTGGTGCATAGGGTGGGCTGGGCAATGATGGAAAGGTGACTAAGCCTGTCTGGAGGACGACTGAGCCTCCTGTTGCTGATGCGTCTACGGGAAGCCTGATGCTCCTGGTGCTGGGACAAGATTTTCCTGGTGTCTTGAGCAGGTTTAACAGAGCATCTCTGATCAACGTCGGCTTCCTGGAGAGCGGCAATGACACCGATTACATTGCCATGCACGATGTTGACCTCCTGCCCCGCAACGAGGAGCTGGACTACGGCTTCCCAGAGGCAGGGCCCTTCCATGTGGCATCCCCAGAGCTGCACCCGCTGTACCACTACAAAACCTACGTGGGCGGCATCCTCCTGCTCACCAAGCAGCACTACGAGATGGTAAGTCCCAGCACAGAGTGGGGGGAGGATTCCTTGTTCGTGAGTCCCTTTTCTCCACCCTGGAAATGTGAAAGGGGCGACACGATGGGGAGGGAGCTACAGGGTGCATCAGGAATGGGGGCTCATGGGCTGAGCTGGTTGGGGTCTGGCTGTAGTTCCCTGTCTAGCCATGGCTCTCCCCCATGGGGCTGCTCTCCATCTGCCTGGCTGCCGAGGTTACTGTGGGTGCATGCATCAGGCAGATGCTGAGGGAGGGGGATATCACAAGCTTCTACTCCTGTGACACCCTCTCATTTCAGTGCAATGGGATGTCCAACCGCTTCTGGGGCTGGGGGCGAGAGGATGATGAGTTCTATCGCCGGATCAAAGGAGCTGGCCTCCAGGTAGGGATACTTTCCAGGCTCCTGGCCAGAGAAAACACCGTTCCCCAGGCATGGCCACCAGGATCTTTGCCAAGGCCTGGGAGCGGACAGCCTAGCTCCCTGCTGGCCCCTCTGCCTAGCCTCCTACAGGTCCTGCTGAGCCCAGGGGAGGGGGTGATGGGGTGCAGGAAGCTTTGGGCCAGGGCACCTGGCTTAGGGCAGGGACTCCAGTGACTAATGCACGCTCCGCTCTCCCCCCAGCTTTTCCGCCCCTCGGGAATAAAGACTGGATACAAGACCTTCCAGCACCTGCACGACCCAGCCTGGAGGAAGCGAGACCAGAAGCGCATTGCTACCCAGAAGCAGGTGTGAGCTGCTCCCTTGGGGCGGGGCAGGGGAGGGGAGGGGAGAAGAGAAGGGGCTCCCAGGGAAATGGTGTCTCTCTGTGACCTGCAGGCGGCTGCATGGGTCTGAGCCTGTTGCTCTAGCCCTGTCCGTGCTGGCTCCGCCCTCTCCCCTGCTCTGGTCCCATCTCGGCTAGCTCTACGCACTGTCCTTTCTGCTGCGTGGGAACTAAATGCCGTGTTGTTTTCCTCAGGAGCAGTTCAAGGTGGATCGGGAGGGGGGCCTGAACAACGTGAGGTATCGGATTGAGTCCCGGACGGCGCTGAGTGTGGCTGGAGCTCCCTGCACTGTCCTCAATATCCTGCTGGACTGTGATGCCAGCAAGACCCCCTGGTGCACATTCAGCTGAGCAGCCTGCCCCAGGCCCCAGTCATGCCTGCCATGCTGAGATGCCCAGGGACTGCAGCGGGGCCATTCGGAGCAGGGCAGGTTCGCTGCGGCAGCTGAGCGCGAGGGCTGGAGCATGGAGGCGACAGGCTGGAAGAGGGCTGAGGAGCCAGCCCAACTGCTCGGTCAGTGCAGCTGGAAGGGCAGAACTGAGACCGAGACGCTGTGGCCCCAGCACAGATGCTGGCATCACCGCAGGAAGGCCGCTCCCTCCTTGCGCTGGCCATGGCAGAGCCACCTCCGTGCTCGAGGGGGACAATAAAGACCCATCAGGACCATGTGATATCAATGCACTGAGCCTCGCCCTGCTTTCCATGCCAGTGCCCATCTGCCAGCCTCGGTCAGGCACCATTCCTGCTCCTCGCTCCCTTGCTCTCCTACTGCTCTGTGATTCCAAGAGGAAGCAGGGATGGAAGCCAGGCTGTGAGTGTCTGCAGGAGGCCAGTCACTCGGGAGGCTCACAAGAGAGGTTTGGTTGATGCAGTGGGGCCCTGGGGCCCAGAACCCCATTAACACGGGCTGAGATTTCAGCAGAGAATGGGACGTATTGGCTACAATACTGCCCAGAACTTCCCATTCCCCTTCATGTGGCTTCTAGGTCCCGCTGCCCACCCCTGCTTTCTGTGGAGTAAGGTCATATTTCTGTTGAACCCCAGCTCGTGAGCATGTCACTGCTCACCGGCTGCATCCCCCCAGAGCACCAGCAGTGCCAGTGCCACTTCCCACAGTACACACCATACCCCAGCCTTCTCCATGGGGCTTGAGTGAGTATCTGGTGCCTTGACCTCTAGTGCCCCCTTCTCTCCTGGCCCTGCCCTCTCCCAGCTCTAGTTAGGAAATCCTGCACCATGTTTCCCTGGAATGTAATGGCTGCTCATTCGCTGCAGTGGTGGCATTAAAGCCAGTGGAGCCATGGATGGTGTCCATGCAAGAATCCAGCCCCGGGCTCCTCCCCAGCAGCCAGAGATGGAGCTTCCTGTACTGCAGGGGGCAGGGTTCTGAGACTGCCTACCCCAGGAAACAGCACAGGCCTGTGAATGTTTCTGGTTAGAGAAGGACCAGAGGGGTGTCTGTTTGTGTGTAATTAACCACAGGAACAACTGCCCCGGGGGACTCTCCACCGCTGACCATTTCTAAATCCCGACGGGCTGTTTTTCTAACCGCTCTGCTCCAGGAATGGTTTGGGGGCAGGTCTCTGCCTGTGCTGTACAGGAGCTCAGACAAGACAATCACTAAGGGCCCACCTGACCTTGGAATCTCTGAACTGAGCTTCCTTCCTGGACCGAGAGGCTGGCCAGCCCCTCCAGCTGCAGCCAACAGCAGCTGCTCTGTAGGCTGGGTCATGCTAGCCCAAGGACCTGCTGCCCCATAACTGCTCAGCTTATGCGCTGGAGCAGGCCCTTGGTAGAGCCAGGACTGCTGGGCTCTACCAAGCCTCAGTGCTGCAGAAGGTGGCTTCTTCTACTGGGTCTAAACCTCTCACCCCCAACCTGTTCTCATTGTTGTGAGACGGGGTGAGGAAGCAATCCAGCTCTTCCAGCCCGCAGGAGGGTTTCACTGCCCCCTGCAGCCATCAGGCCAGGCATGACAGTGTCCTGCTGGGTGCATCACAGGATGCTGAATGCAACAGCAACCTTGCAGCTGGAGGTCCCAGACCTGCTGTGGGGCCTGCCCACCCTTCTGCCAGGCTCTGCTTTGGTGGAAAAGTCCACTCGACTCAGGGCCTGATATCAGCTCTTAGAGAAAGGCCATGTTCTGCTCAGAATGGGGGCTGCACATGGTGGGGGGCTGGGACTACAAGGTTTAGCTCATGGGCCAGGCCCCCACAAGCTGGACTGGGCCCTGGTAATACCCCCTAAAGCAGGGACCTGCTGCCCTCCTGCAATCCCCTGCAGGAGCATGAAGGTGAGAGCAGAGCAGCCCCAGGGAACAGGACGGCCCTGTCGCTTCATGGCAAACTCAAAAGGTTTTTTCTGCACATCTGAACTGGCACCGGGGGTAGTTGCTGGGGGGGGGGGGTCCCTCCCTGGGACGGGGCAGGTGGGGGAGGAGAGATCATGGGGCGAAGTGCTTAGCTCCACCCTGAGGAATGAATACCAATCATGGGGCGGGTGATGGGACAAGCCTGTCTGGGTTGGACAGAGGGGAAAGCTCTGGGTGTTAAGGGCAGAGTTAAGGGCTCAGAGGATCGCCTCTAGCTCTGGCTGGGCAGAAAGCCTCCAAGTTCCTCTACTGCAGCTGCCTCCTGCCTAGGCCCCTGCCATCGGTGCTGGGGGCTAGGGGGACTGATCGGTAGAGCTTTGGGCAGGGGAATCTCATGCACCATGGAATCACCAGTCTTGCCAGCACCTCCTGCTCCAAATGGTATGAATTTGTAAAGCTCCCAGGAGTGGGAACGTAGGGAAGCCACAGCACCTGGGTCAGGGCTTGAGTCTCAAGCCAAAGCATCTCAAGCAGATATGGCAGCCTCTGAGCAACTGTAGCTGGCGCCTCCAGGTGCAGCTGTGCCCAGAGGTGGTGCCCAGCGGCTTCGTGCGGGTAGGGTGGGAAAGGCTCAGCCTGAAGGTGTGCAGGGTTTGTGACCTCTGTGGGGAGCTGCCACCCTCCTCTGTCCTGTGTAGGGGTGGGCTACTGGCCTGAGGTGTCTCAGGTGAGTCCTCCAATGACTCTGTGTTCCCCTCCTTCAGCAGCTGGGATTTCTTCTTGGGGTGCTGCTGCAGGGCAACCCACTGGTCAGGCTGGCTGGGGGAGGAAGCTGGGTACTTGGCTGCGACAGAGGGGGCCTCGTAGGCTACCTCTTTGGAGAGGTAGGTCCTTAGCCACAGCTCAGTGCACGGGGAGGGAGCCATCACAGCAGGAGCTGCTGGAGAGGAGAGAAGCCAGGGGTTACATTGGGCGTGTCTGGGAGGAGAGAGGGGAAGGAACTCGAGCTGGTCACTGGGTTTTGGAGCTGCATGTGCAGAAGCACTGGACGGAGGGAAAGGAAAGCCTGCAATAGGGCTGTGACCGTACCCGGAATGCTGCGCTCCTTTCCCTCTGTGTCATTGTACTGTGCCCATCACCGAGGTATCTGGGTACCACGTTACTAAAGACCCCCATGACTAGAGGCAGCGCCAAGAAGAGCAGTAACTGGGAGTTGGGGGTGCTGGAGAGACCAATTCACAGAGCTGGATGCCCATCTTGGCACAGCAAGGGGGGAGGGATGCAGGATAAATCTACACACCTTACAAGGGGGTGAACCCCTTGGGAGAAGAGGGATTAGTTATGTGGGTGCCTGGAGCTGAGACAAGGAACAAAGGGTTGGAAATGAGCGAAGGAAAAGCTGCCCAGCAGTCCATGAATGCAGCCATGGAGGTGCGACAGAAAGGGTAGGAACCCATTGCATGGACGGATCCCTGTACAGGTGTGAACATGCCCTGGATGGGTGCTCAGCATGAGCCTCTAGGCAGTATAACACAGAGGGGACTTACTACGGCTTTCCCCTGAGGTCTGACAATCCCAGGAGCAAGTCATCTGTGGAGCCAAGTCCCAGGCTGCCTGACCCCACCGTCGTCCAGCTCACTCCTCCAGCCGTCAGGCTCTCCCAAAGCACTCGGGGCAGAAGGGGGGGAGCACAGGCAGCATGGGGGCAGGAGTCTGGCCTAGAGGCTCCCATCAGCCACGCAGTTCCCAAGGCCAAATTTAATCTCGGAGCGCGAGGGGGCTGGGGGCAGGCCAGAGAGGCGCTCGCCTGTGAAAAAATCGGGCAATGACCCAAATTCTGACCCTCTGCTGTTGGTTTTGGGACCTGTGGAGAATTAACTAATGTCTTGGGGCATTCCCAGAGGGCCGGTGTCCACTGCCCCCCTTGTTCCCAGGGGCTGAACCCCTCTGTCTTGCTGTGGGGGCTGTTGTTTGGCAGAGGGGGAGCTCCTGGTGCTGGCTGTGCTACATGTGGTGGGAGGACAAAGGTCTGCAGGCCTCTCATCAGCCCATCCTGGGATCCCCCAAGGAGCTGAGGGATCAAGGCTGGTTCTAGTGAAAAGGCCCTGCCTGGCAGTGCTAAAGGCCCATCCTGAGGGCTGTTCCCACAGCTGCTACATCCGGGGGGTCTCCCCATCGCCGGATCAGACAGCCACTGGGTCTCTCATTGTCTGGCTCGGGGCATAGCCAAATCCCTGTCTCGGGGCTTATTGAACCGAAGGGAGGGTGAGACCCCACATCCACTGGGACCAGACTGAGCCCTTGTCCCCTCCCTGCTCCCGTGGAGCTACTCACCTCCAGTTGCATGTGCGGAGCCTGCAGCGGTGCCCCTGGCCATCAGTGCTGATGGATCCGGTTCAATGGGCATGCTGGAGGAGGAGGAGGAGGAGACCTCATCGTTGGTCTGCCCAGAGGGAACAAACAGGGTCAGCACAGCAGTCAGATGCCGTGAGCTTTGCCTCCCTAGGCCTGTTCCTTGAGGAATGCTCTTAGCACTGCTGTGCCCCTGGCCTAAGCTTTCATGGCCACTATGCCCTTGTCCAACAGCTGTGTGCAGTCCTGGCAGGCTGGGCCCCTCTCACCTCCTGGCTCCATCTTTTCAGTGCCCACTGCAAATCGTGCTGCTAAACTGCTTTTTCTGAGAAGCTCATGGGGCAGCCAGGGTCACCCTTGGGAGCCCTGTGGCACCCAGGATTGCAAGATGTGCCCTTAGTTGAGAGGGAGGCAGGGAGTTCTCCACAGCCACTTGCCGGACTCCACAGGTCAAAGTCTCCAGGGACACGTTCCAGGATACAATGCCTATTGCTCCTGTCCCCCAGGCTGAGATCCTGCCCCCCGACACTGAGCTGGGCAATTTAACACCCCAAGGAGCCCACCTGCTACCTCCAGGGTAAGCAACATGCTGCTAACAACAGCCACGCTCAGAGGCCCAAGATAAGGGGAGTGAAACGCCTGGCTGGCCAGAGAGACGCCACGTACCGTACACAAGGAAGGTGATTGGGACTCAGGATAAACCTTGTTTCTTCGGCCCTTCATGCTGCTGCGGAGCTTAGTGAAGAGGGACCGTGGTCCTTGGATGCTGAATGCCTTCTTGCTGCCAGGAGGCAGGATCTGCATGAACTGGAGGTCGAGCTGCAGCTGCCCTCGCACCTTGTCAGGTCTGCCACTCCTGGATTGCAGCCTGAACCATCTGCGCCAGACAACGCCATGAACCATGAGGAAGCTGCTCAAGCCTTCACTGCTCTATTTGTCTCGAACTCACAGGGCTCAGCCCACTAAGGACTGGGGCTGGGGGTAAAGGGAGCTAAATGTTGTGCTGAGTCCTGCTCTTAGAAGTTATATCTTGTGGCTACACCTCACTGCCCTGGGGAAAAGCCCCCCGGCCCTGGCCACACAGGCTCCCCAGCCACGTGCAGAGGCATTTGTGCCTTCCAAGTCCCTTGCCTGGTGGGCTGTTTACTTCTGAGCCAGCATGGGATCCTCCCTTTTCAGCAATAGGGCCGGGAAAGCCCATCCTGTGTGGTGCAGTGGCTCTGCTCTCACCCACCCCCAGTTCTGGTCTCTAGCTCTCTGAGCCACTTTCTTCTGCCCTCTCCTTTCCCACCAGCCCTCCCCCCTTCCCCTGGTCACAGGCTTTCCGCACCCGAGCTGAGACAGCGCTTTCTAGGGGTCTGTTACCAGCTAGTCGGAAAGGCCCACACCCACCGCACACCTGGCCAGGTGCATTTATGGGGAGCTTCGGCTTCCTCTGGATCAGGCCTTGGACCCTGCCAGAGAGGGGAGTCCAACCCCCCCATTCCGCTGTATGTTGGCACCAGAGAGCCCAACCCCACCAGGTAAAGCTCCCCGTAGAGCTGCTCTGTGCTCTGGGGCACAAGGGGCCGTGAGAAGCCCTGCTGCACCCCACGCAGACCCCAGGAGAAAGGGCAGGAGGAAGAGG